TGATACTGTTTCTGTCCCAGGATGAAAGCTGTGTTATTTCCCTGACACTAACTCGTCAATATCCTGACGGGAGGTCTGGAGCTTTAAACACGTTGGCATTTTATATTGGGTCCAGGCTTTGGGTTGGCATGAAGCAGAATCTCCATTCTACCAAGCTATGCAGCTCCCGAAAACCAACATAAAATCCGTGTTTCTTATTGAACTTTTTCACTGAGAACATTGGAGAGCTATATGAACAGTCAGCTTCTTCAATAATGTAATCATCTAACATCGCCTTAACTTGTCATACAAACTACTCCCCTTGAAAGTAACGTGGAATTTTGTGTTGTGATAGATGTGGTTTCCCAACACGTCACAGGGATTTCATGAGTTACCTTAGTACAGCACATATAGGGGTTAATAGATAGTGCTTATAATTATAATCGGTTATTCTCCTGTCGAGTTAACTAATAAACCTACTTATTGAAGAAAATCAGTCCTAGGATTGTTCATTGTACCTTAGGCAAATCAGTGAAAGGGAAGGTTATTTTTCGACCACAATGTGAACGATGCTGTGAGACACACTTGTGATTTTCAGACCATGTCCATCTATTGTCTTCACTGCTAAAACATATGTTTTGACTCTCTGGCGATGACTCTTATCTGCTTGTGAAACTAACACTCATGCATTTATTAGGAAAAAATCATCGATCACTCAGAATACACTCCAAGTGTCTCGATACACCCGAAACCTTCCAGCTTAGTCAGACAGAAAGAACACACTTTACATTGTTTAAAATACTTCCTTTTTCGTCTTTTCCGGACAGTATTTCAGCCGCTGTTCTGGCTTTCCTTAATCAAAGCATCAATCTTTACTCATGCACAAATTCGTAGCAATGCACTCACTGATACGAATCTTCAATTAACTGTTCCCACTTGTAGGGATAGCATTGAGTGTTAAGGCAGAAAAATCACTTCTTGACTGGATGCCAGTAGGTAGTCGTATATGTACGGTGCGTCTGAGCAGGTCCGTTAGAAGAAGGAGGGGCGGCGTTACCCATCGTTATCTTTTCGTAGTCTCCGCTTACGGCCTAACAGACTGCATTTCGGGTGGACTAAAGGATGACTTCTACATGAAACTGTCTAATTTGCTGCAAAAAGCAAGACGTCCAGATATAGTTGTTTCAATACCCGAGTAGGGAAGTTGTACCAGACTGAAAAGTATGTAGGTGACATGTATGAAGTTCCCTACCGACGAACCAACAACGATGATCGTCTTCTACAGTTCTGTTCAGATAATCATCTGTTCCTAGTCATCACTAACTTTAGGCACAACGAGAGACACTGCGTAACCTGGCGACCTCCATCACCAAATCAATGCTGGACTCAGATAGACCACATAGCGATAGGGTATGGTTGGCGAGGGTCAGTAGAAGACTACCGCTTCTTCTGGAACACGTGTGTAGACTCTGATCAGGCCCTGGTTCGCTCACGTTTATCCTCACAACTAAATGGAAATCGAAAACTGTTGGCAGCGATGCAATTAAGTCTCCAACTAGATCAAGACACTGAGTCCCTATTTAAGGAAGAAACAGCGAAACGTGTATCTGAGGTCGACTGCAAGACTCTTCCTGAGGAAGCTTGGCACAATATACAGTTAGCTGTAGACACAGCTGTAAAAGCTGTTAATAAGCTGAGACCCAAAGTTAATAAGAGCCATTGGATTCCTACCGCCTCATCCAAACTGACTGACGCAAGAAGACTGATTACGGCGAGCTCCAAATATGATGAGGAGCGACAGCTACTCAAACGCAAACTAACACGAAGCCTTCGTAACGACCGTGAACAGTGGTGAGTGACAAAAGCGAAAGAGATGGAAAAGGCATCGGCGATTGGTAACGCCAGACAACTATTTAGATCTATAAGGGAAACAGGTGGTAAAAGGTAAACGATAAGTGAACCAATCTCTGAGAAAAATGGCACGATGATTAGCTCCCAGGATAGAAGACTAGGAAGTTGGAAAGAACACTTTGAGGAGCAGTTTAATTGGCCTACAGCCACACCCAATTTACCGAACATCCAAAACCTCTCTGAATGGGATATAGACACAGCTCCTCCTTCCTTAACTGAGGTTACTAAAGGTGTTACTAATCTGAAACGAGGCAAAGCAGCAGGACCTGATGGAATGACTCCAGAGGTGTTTAAGTAAGGTAGAGACAGTTTAATGTCTGCGTTAATTGAGGTACTAGGCAGTGTCTGGGAATCAGAGGAATTCCGCCGGGTTGGTGTATGTTATTGATTATCCTGATAAACAAGAAGCGAGACAAGTCTTCCTATGATAATCACAGGGGGATTAGCGTGACTAATATGGTGGCATCTAAAGTTCTAGACTCAATAATATTGCGTAGACTAAGTGGTGCTCGGGAGGCACAAACACGAGAATACCAGGCAGGTTTTAGGCCAGGAAGAAGGTGTATTGATCATATCTTCACCCTCCGACAGATTCTAGAACATAGGCATTCCTACCGGTGTCCAACAATCATTATATTTCTTGACCTAAAGGCGGTATTCCATTCTATCGACCGAGAGGTACTCTGGCGATGCTTGGCTGTAAAGGGAATGCCGAGAAAATACATTGCACTGATTAAGGCACTCTACTCATACTCATGCAGCCAGGTGAGGGCTTACGGCGAGTTGTCATCTGAAGTGGTGACGACTAGTGGCATCCGTCAAGGATGCCCATTATCCCCATTTCTATTCAATTTCATCATAGATGTACTAATGGACTTAACCCTAATTCACTTCAGACTCAGGGATTGACTTGCTACCAGGGAATAATCTCGTCGACTTAGAATATGCAGATGATATAGTCCACCCCGCTAGGTGAAGACGCTGACAAAATGCAGAGTCTTCTGAACACCTTGAGCTGCAATCTGGGAATGTTTGGAATGCGGTTCTCTCCTACAAAATGCAAGATGATGTTACAGGATTGGACTGGACTATATTGACTCCTAGCTTAGAAATAGAGAGTGAAGTGGTAGGTCGTGCTGACCACTTCACTTATTTGGGAAGTTGTATCAGTCAACCCGAACGGGTTGATCGCTGACGAAATCTCAGCACAGATGCAGAAGGCTCGTTTCGCATATGCCAGTTTATGCCATCGCTGGCTTAGTAGACGTGATATCCAGTTGTAGACCAAAAGGCGTGTGTACTGCTCAGTAGTTCGCGCTGTCCTCCTTTATGGCTGTGAGACGTGGCCACTGAGAGTAGAGGACATGTAAAGGCTAGCTGTCTTTGATCATAGATGCCTGCGTTCTATCTCCCGTGTGAAGTGGTATATTAGGGTAAGCAATATTGAGGTTAGGCATCTATCGAGTGCTAGGTAAGGACTGTGAAGTTACATCGACTGAGATCGTTAGGACATGTGTTACGCATGCCTAGCCTTCGCCTCCATCGACGGGCAGTGTGAGCTGACATAGGGTCAGGCTAGAAAAGAGCTAGCGGTGGTCAAACCAAAACATCGCACCAGTCAATGAAATCCACAAGAGTTAGTTTAAGCCAGCCAAGTAGGAAGGTGTAGACTTCGTGACTAGTTGGGGTCCTCGGGACGGTAGAAACCAATGAAGGCTAGAGACAATTGGTGATATGGCTCAAAATCGTTCTCAGTGGCTGGTGCAGATGCATCCACTCCTTGTGACTTATAATTTCCAATGAAACCATGTTGTTCTTCGTTATTGCTATTCCTTTTGTCTCATATCCCTGTCTACTGTTTGTATTTTGCATTTCTTCTACTTTCTTCTCTTGCTTTGTGTGCTACATGTGGTGTGGCTACTCGAACTCGGTCGGTTTTCGGCTACTCGAACTGCTGCACATCGGTGCAAAGTTCTATGTTGAAACCAGTCAGTTCCCACTTGTATCATTTACGGTGGCTGCCGTTCTACTCAGCAGACACCAGGTTACTTTTGCAAGCGCACAAAAGTTCATGAGTTGAGGTGTGATGGCCATTTCAAATGCTATTAGTCAGATATTCTGAATTTCACTGTTTTTATATAATGACAGATATGACCCTAGTCGACTTCAACAACTTAGAGTTTGACTTCTTACCAGTTGATTTAGAGTGTTTATCTTAAAAATCTGGAGAACTCCATATGTGGATATGTAGTCTAAGCGTCCACTGTCGGCAACCATTCCCAATATTGGTCAGGATAAGGTCAGAAAAGAGTAAGCGGTGGTCAGACACATCTATGAAATCTCTGACCGTCGCTTTGAACCAGCCACATAGGAAGGTGTAAACTATCTGATTGATGTCCATCAATAGATATAGGCTCTTGATGATATGGCTTAAAATAGTTCTCAATCGCGAGGGCTGTTCTGAAATGTAATGAATCTAAATGCTGTACTTGTGCGCAAAGGCTTACACTGACAAATCAGTCCGCTCCTCCGTAATATTCAAACATATCTCTGATCTAAGTGAAGAACATTCGTAGTGTTCGAAATGGAAAAGTTGAGTGTATAATAACCTCGTAAGAAGACCGTGTGTGTGTGTCTGTTTAAGGAGTCCAAAAGACAAGTGAGTCAGTCATCCTTTTGCATGAGTAACTTCAAACTTGTTTAATTTCTTGCACTAAAAACGCGTCACACTTACTATCCTATAGTTAGCTAATGTATTTCTTTCGTGATTTTCTATATTTCGACCTCATCTATTGATAATATTCATTTGTTATCATTAGTACCTAGATCCTTGGCTGATGATGCAACCGTTTCGTCGGAAGAGGACTCCACACTACCCTTGGCAGCTGTAGGAAGTGAAAATGATGCATACAAGGGATCGCCTGCAATCAATGCTTTGGTAGCTTTCAGTAAACCTCCCTACGGTCTCTACTCTGGACGGCGCGAAATAAACTTACCTGTTGGGAAAGTTGCATCTATCGTAGCGTCTCTAGCCTATACTAATCCTGCTAACAGCCAACAACATTTCACACTGGATTTCATCGAAGGTGCTCTTCACTATCCCATGTACTATGACTACCACATACAAAACTTTACGAAGCAGCGTCTCCATAAAACTTTGGAACCCGGTCAGGAGGTTTGTTGAATTTTCCTAGCTTAACTCGATCCAGGCTTCTCTTTATTACAGGTTCAGGCCAGCAGTTGAGTTAGCTGGTCGATCATTCGATCTTTCTGTGGTTGTTTACTATCACGATAACAATAACATTTATTATGCCCATAAGTTATTTAATCAGACTATTAATGTAAGTGCGTGGTTTTGCATTCATAACAATTTCATGTAGCTTTATGAGATTGAAGAGGGCGTAGACACACAGTTAATATTCCTCGTTGTTCTGGTGATTGCTCTCAGTATTGCAGTACTCATTGGCGCGTGGCACTGGTTCACTTCAAAGGCTCATCGTCGTCAGCCTACCAAACAGTCTTCGAAGTTGGTCGAAAATAATTCTGACAGCAGTGTAGTGGAGAATGAATATTTAGCACTGATCAATGATAAGTCTCAAGCGAAGAAAGGTAATTTAGTTGAAATTCACTTTTGGCTGTGAGGAATAATGTGCAGTTTAAATTTTAAATCAAGTATTCTGATCATATTGTCACGCTGAACTCAACTACATTCATCTGAATGTAGTGATAGTTTTTACTAAATTTATAAAGTAATCGAACAACTGTTAGTCCAAAACTAGAGTATTTCACATATTCCAGCCTGGTGGTTCCTGTGTTGTTGTCGAAACAATGTTAATTGTTGCCATTCTAATCTCTCACTACTCCAGTAACTTCAGTTTCATTTCATATACGTATAAATCTTACAAAAGTATATCAGCACGGTCGACTAGTGTTTCTAAAGAGTCCTTTTGTTCACGCGAGCTAGGCATGTACAGTGGGTACCAATCCACATTAAAGCCATGGTAATTTACTACCCGTCTCATTCACGTGAACTGTCTTCAAAGTACTCCCTACTTGACGTTGCAGAAATTCTCGGCTTAAATGAACTGTATCCTTATTGTTATTTAGCAATGAACTTTAACATATGTTTAACCTTTTTAGGTCGATCTGACCAGACGGTACGTCGCCGACAAGGAAGGCGTTGAATCATCCGAGGTCTTGCAGACTAGTCCGGAGACCAACAGTCATCTCGTGTATACATTTGTAGAAATGTTTATACGTATAATATCGTCTTGTATTTTTATTCTTCTTGCTTTATTTTATTTTCCTTGTACACCTTTCTTTGTTTACTTATACGACTGACTAGTTAGCGATGTCAATAAAGTTTATTTCTTTGGTTTACCTCTGGTTCTTCAAAAATCCTTTTTGTATTTAAAGAGTATCGATTAATGAGTAGTAATGGTTTTATATTAAATAACAGAATACATTGTGCCACTGGCGTGATATTAGTAAAGAAAAGACGGGTATAAAAAGTGTCTAACATGCACGGAAACTCTAGGTAGTTGCAATGATATGCTGAATAAAATAGCAGTAAACGCAGCATAAATCGCGAGTTTGGTTATGCAGGGATTGTTCATTATGTATTCTTCTTCAGTGAGGTTTGATTCTTCGTCCAAATAGTGAATTTCGGGATTCTTGGCCGAAACTTTGAGATGCAGGATTGAAGGAAAACTATGGGGAACCAAAGACAGCAGGCGATCATCTGTAAAATTAAAGTAAAAGTACAGTTAAGTGTTTATCGCTGGTTTTTGATTTGACACTGCTTATTACCGGCAGTCACTAATTGTTTAGCCATCTATGACTGTTGTGAGAATGGTTTCCTCACCCCACCATCGCTTTTACCTGATTGGACTAGACAGTGGATCCGAGAGATCGACTTCTGTAGGACGAAGGTTACATCTACTAAATCACTTCGTGACACAAAGATTCCTTTAAAGAAGAAAAGCTAATGCAATCAGACCTTGGTGTTTATGGACATGGACACTAGTATTTGGAAGTGTCATGTATCTATAACCCGTTAAAAAATAATCCCTTGAGTGAGATTACACCTCTCCCGCACGTCTGGAGACAGTGCTAATCAAGAAACAAATCCATCTATCGTTATCGGATACTCCTAGAGGTGACTAACAAGTTTTCAAATGAAAAGCAAAGTTATTGGCCTTTGGGATAAAAATTCACTCTAGGAGAATGCGTGAGAGCTATGGTCAAAGGAGAATGGGAACTCATATGCACATGTCATGAGAACACTTTTCCATAGTGATCAAACAGTCTTTTAGAAAAACTGGCTGAAACTGCATTTAGTAGTCATCAGTGAGGAGCAGAACTGTGGTTTGCAACTCCGTACAGAATAGTTGTATATGGTATGACACGTCGATACGATGTTGTTTATATACTCATTAGGTTTCGAGCAGAATTTATTGCCCATTATCATGAGCATAAAGTATTAGTAAAATCTAATCATTAGCGGATGATTTCCTCGCAATGCCAGGCTGTGAGTCACTTCCCTACAGATGCCCCTGAGTTTTATACAAACCCTCCTCATCGATCGTAAGTGTGACACAACAGTTCTCTTACCATGTTTAGCTTACTACAGCGTACTTCAAACGTGACCGTCATGCACACACTAAGTCGAAAGTTTATATTCACAAGACATCAAATAGCACATTGATTACTTTTGTCTGCAAATTTCATAAGATAACTGAGGATGATGCATAGATAAGGTAATCTTGGGATATTTATTTATACTTCACAACTAAAAATCCATCATCGTTTTCAGTGGACCTCAAGTGTCTTCACATCGTCTAACTGTTTTTGAGTATCTTAGTAAATAAATAAATTGTAGGAAGTCTTACCTTTAGTATTACCTTAGGCTGTAGCTTTGGAGCGATGAAGCAAGTTAGAATCAAGAAATGAAACAAAAGTAAATCACTAATATGCAATCCGACAAAACCAACGATGCACAGAAGAGATGAACTCGTCAGGAAGTGTAGAAGTGAATTTCGATATTGAACTCGATGTACGAAAATACAGAAGTTTATCAGTACGTGACGCATATGAACCAGGCGTCTACAAAAGTTCCAATAACACCAATTATCTTCGTAGCTTGGGGGATGTTCAGAAATCTCCTAAGGCCTTGTCTAGTGATGTCACTTGATAGTTTCCTCAGAGTATGTTTGATCTTGTCTTGTAGATTCCTTAACTACCTCAACCGATTTAACCAAGTGTTTGCCTCATCTACTTCTCTTTGACCGTGAAACAGCGGTTAGGATATATCCATTTGTCCTCGATAATCCTTGCCTTCCACTTAATACTCAAACTCAATGGGAAATCGGATATGTCAATTGGATGCGATGAATTCCAGAAAGAAAGCAACAAAATGAGAATGTAGCATCGTCATGATAAGGTTAGGCATTCTGCCTACTCAGAACTCACGACGTTGAATCCCATTTAGTGGATACTTCCACCACTATGATGGACAATTTCTACTCGTTCAGTGAGACAATACAAGCGTTAAGTGAATTATATCGAAGATGGATTTGCTGCCACATCGCGATAATATACATTTGAGGACTCTCACTGACTCAGTCACAGTAACCACCTGTCACAGGTTAGTTCTTCTTTGTTTGCTAATTTTCCTCTGAAGCCATAACGTGGCAGCCTTGTTAATATTGCTGGTAGTATGGGATTATTGACTGCAGAAATATTCCTGCCAACATAGGTGACGCCACCTGGTGTGGAAGTTCTGAGAAAACCCAACCTATACTTGGTTTTATAAAAATTCCGATGATTTCACGTGGTTTGGTGGATGAAGTTATGAAAAACTTGGATGAGTTGGTTGAACAAAGCTTACCCAGGTCAACGTAGGCTCAGAAATTTGTGGAACCTACTATGACAGGAGAGCACTAAAATTTGTGGTATCCATCGTCCCACCTGATAATGCTATTGCATGCAGTAGTGTGCTATCCAATACCAGCATTAGACTTCACACCATATTCCTCATTCTTATGCAGATTAGAACACGTCATTGCTCATCCCTGACGGATGAGTCTGCTATTTGATCAAATTTGCGCTTTGCTCACTGCTAGTTTTTTCGTCCATCTAGTACATACTTCATGTTTGCACGCCGGATAACCGTAAAATTGAAGGGTCGCAGTGCAGTTACTCTGTGAATTTCTTAGAAGACTATTCTGTAGAGCAGTTTACATTCTGGCTTTTGTGGAACTCTGTTTGGAGCAGTTTGGTGATCTGATTTAGTTGTTAAATTGAGGTTTGCGTGCTCTCGCCATTGTTGGGAGTTTTCTGAGCATAGGATTGCAAAGTAAAGTTCTTCTATCCGGTCAGTGATCAACCAAGCTACTTTCTTCGAAAGGATTTCTTCCTTTTCGATTCGTCATATACACCCAGGATTTTGACAATCTTCGGTGCGCTGTTACCGGAGAAAAATTTGAAACAGTGGATGACTAGATTCTACAGCTGAAGCCTTTTTAAGAGTAAGGTGGTCTTAACCAAACCGTCATCTAATGACGGTGGTGTTGAAATGAATTGTTATGACACCAGCGTCTCTCTGGAAAACTCTTGTGGTGAATATTATTCTGATAAGTGTTTTTGGTTGGTTATGCATAAGAAGCAAAACAAGGGAAAATTGAAGCTATAGTAAAAGCCGAAATGGCTCATATCGGGATTGGCCTGCGAATCGGAAAATAAGAATGAGGGTTAAGAAAACGAGAAGAAATGCAACTTTATGTCGGGTTTAAGACTTCGGTCGCTAATGGTATGCGAATGCCCAAGGTTGATATGGCGTGTTTCTATGGGAAGCCAAGTGAGTAAGAAACGTTCATGAGTGAGTTCGAAAGTCTGGTTGAAACTGAACTATCCGGTGCTGGACAGAGGTTGGAGTGCTTGCTACGCTTTTGTCAATGGCGTTATGTGGAATTGTTGATCTTGCTAGAAGACAACCTCTAGGGCACCCAGCCCAACAGAGAATCATTCTGAGTTATTGACTACTGAGCGGGTGTGCCCAGACAGTCACCCATCCCACGTCAAGGATAAAAAATTCTGGCACAGACGTTTTGGTTGATACAGGAGCTGCGCACAGTGTTATTTCAAAAAATGACAGAGCCAGGGCAACAGGTGTCAGTCTACAAACGGCCAATAAAACATAGATGGCGTCGTTCGGGCAGAGAAGACCGTCATTCGGCCTAGGGTGAAGCAACAGCTTCCACTGCCTTTCACCATTGCTGACTTAGACTTGGCAATCATCAGCACCGACTTCACATGGACATATGGCTTGTTAGTGGATACTCGAATGGAAGGAAATGAAGGAAACCTCGCTAACGGCAACGCGATCAAGCGCCGTTCGTTGAGTGTGGTTCAGTCTCCTCTAGTACCAAAAATGGACGAGAAATACTAGTGGAATTCCCAAATCTGACTGCAACCAACCCTCAAACTTCCAAAGCTACTCCAAAAATCATTCATAATATAAGTACACATTTCACCACAGTGTTTTGTAAGCCAGGAAGAGTTCTCGTGTGCCAGCCAAAAATAGCGATAGCTTAACTGGATTACATGATTTAGCAGGGGATATTTGGCCTTCAAATAGTCAATGGGCTTCGGCATTATACATGGTACCCCGGAAGAATAGGACTGATTTGAGGCCTAAATAGACACACCTTCCCCGAAAGATGCCCAGTAACTCACATTCAACACTTTATCACGATATTCCCTAAAATGGACTTGGTTCGCACCTATGACATTATTCCGGTGGCTGAGGAAGATATACTTAGAACAACCATTGCCACACCACTTTAATTATATGAGTGTGTGTGGATTCCAGGGATTTACGGACTACTTGTTGCGTGAAATTCTGTTCGCCGAAGCGTATGCAAATGACCTACTGATCGCCATCTCAGATGTGAACACATATGAAGATCAGGTTGGTGCAGTATTAGGCAAGCTACGTGACAATGCCACGACATTAAATCAGGGTGTATTTTTGGGCGGAAACAATAGGATTCCTAGGGCGTGTCACTGAAGGCACTGGGGTCTCATCAATCCCAAAAATGGTGAATAAAACGTAACAACATCCCGTACCCTCATCTCTCACACAATTGCTGAGTTTTCTGG